TCGATAATCCGTGGTTCGATGAAATCGAAGCGAAGCGATCGGAATTCACAACACCATCAGACAGCGTAATTACATGGAATAAATTAATAACGTACGTACTCTACTAATACTAGTAATAGTACATTAATACTACTAAAGTCTGATTATTAATGTCTACCATGTAATATGTGGCACTAATTAATATGATATTTAATAAATTAATCCGCGTCATGTAGCCTTGAAGAAATTACTATGTGACTGTAGGGATTTACCCACAAATCGAGCAAGTAAAACAATTTTCGAACTATATATAATATCAATACTATGATATAAGCACAAGTACCAATATACGAATAAATTTATAGTGGACTTCAAGTTTCCGTGCAAAATATTATGCGAAACTGTATCACTGATTTTGGGGAAATCACGGCTGAATAAAATAATAAATTTAGAATGGCGGAGAGAATTGAAATAAATACGACTTCGCGTTAGTCGTGTTAGAACTATTTGCTGCGCAAAACAAATATTAAACAATAAATGACAACGATTAAAAATAGTCACCATTCAGCATTAGTCGACAATCAACAATGACATTTTTTCACACGGTCTTAGATAATAGTATTCATGATTATATAATAATTTTACAATATGATATTATGATTATAACATTTATATATATATATATATATATATTTATGAATTACCCAAATAATCCGCTTAAACAACATAAATTTAATTTAATTGTCTGACGAGGAGAAAACCACAGAGTGCAGACGTTGACGCTGCAATTATTGCAAATAATTATTTTCAAGACCAGTGTAACCTTAAATGGAAATAAAATGTCCCGACCTTTASCGGGATGATTAAACAGAATGATGGTCGATAGATCTATAAAAAAAAAAAAAACAGGAGCCGAAATCGTCGTACATTGGTATGCACAATATAAGACAATATATGCATGTTGATCAAATATTAATGTAGGACCTTTACCTACTATACAATAATATAGTAGAGAAGTAAAATKTTTTGTTATTGAATTGATAAATTCRAAAATCCGATTTTTTATTTTTTTAACTTTTCATATATTATAATGTATCGTTACAYCCTAATCTATTCGATAAAAATTAATTTACGATTCCGAAACTTTTAGATAATAGGTGATCAACAATATCCCAGGAATAACGCRCGGGTAGTCAAAGTGGCTCAAAATAAATGGAGCCATGGAGGGATGCCTAAATTTTTATAATTTTCTTATATTAATATTATTATGTTTTACACACAGGGTTTAACCTCTACACCTTATGTATAATAACATTGTATATTATAAATTAGTACCTATACATTGTTGTTTTTCAGTTTGGTGTCAATATTGTTGATATATTTAAATTTCTGTAGATATTTAATTATATATTTAATTAAAATTTAAAACATATTTGCATAATTGCATGTACA